CTGCTGATGTCTTCACCAAGGCACTTCCGCCTTGTGATCATCAGCGCTTCTGCACTCAGTTGGGTCTTGTCCCTGTCTTGCCTCACTTGCTCACCTCTTGACCTTGCTTGTACTGTTACATATATATATACCTGCTCTTGCTTGTCTAGCCTTATATATATATGTACTCGTGCATGTGAACTGGCCTTGTGGCCTTGAACTTTTGCTCGGAATGTGTGGTGACTTTGTGATCCACCCTGAGCTTTGCTTTGCTTTGCTTGACTGGTCTTGTGACCCCCTGTTCTCCCCCACTTTGCCTATGGGGGTGTGTCAGAACATTATAGCTTATGCTTTTGTGTAGGCTGTAGTGGGGTATCCCATAGGGGGTACAACCAAATTAGGGTTAGTACTTGTACCCACTTCATTCATAGTTCATTCATTCTCGTTCACACTTTCTCATAGCCCACTGAATGTGGTGGTCCAAAGAGAGAAATGCCGACTGATCCTCGACCTCCGCCAAGTGAACCTGCACCTGCGCATTCCAAAATTCAAGTACGAGGGGCTCAATCGGGTTGCGGAGATCGCTCGCGTGGGCGACTGGATGTTCTCTATCGACCTAAATTTTGGGTATCACCACGTGGATATTCACCCATCGTGCTGGAAGTACCTGGGATTTCGATTTGACGGAAAGACATACATATTCCGCTCGCTCCCGTTCGGCCTCGCGACGGCCCCATTCGTTTTTACACAACTTATCAAACAACTCGCTCGGCGCTGGCGAGCCATGGGCATACGGGTCATTCCTTATGTCGACGACATCCTCTTCCTTTGTGACACGGAAGCGAAAGCACGAGCCACATGTCAATCAATCATACATGACCTCAACAAGGCAGGGCTTGTGATCAACTCGAAAAAGTCGCATCTACAACCGACCCAGCAGTTGCGTTTCCTGGGCGTCGAGTTAGACACTGACCGTGGTCAGTTCTCTATCGGCGCTGAACCTCGAGCCTCACTACTTTCCACCCTCCAAGTCCTTCAGAGGGAAGGAAAGGCAGAACACAAGGTCCCAGTCTGTCACATCGCCAGAGTCACCGGCATGCTGGCTTCCATGTCACTGGCTCTTGGGGCGACGACACGAGCGTTCAGTCAAGGCCTACTGCAGGCAATCCAGCAGGCACCATCATGGAATAGTAAAGTGCTGCTGGACCCTATGGCAATTGAAGAACTGGACTTTTGGCGCCACGAGTTCGACAAATTCAACGGCGCCCCATTTCACGTCCCCAACAGCTACGATGCCGTCATCCATGTGGATGCCAGCGCACACAGTTGGGAGCGACGTTGGACAAGTTCCCAGGACGGCGTATCGAGGCAAGTGCGGCAATGCCGAAGCATCTGCTAGAGTCATCCAGCACGCAGTGAGAGATAGATGGCGTTCTATGGGCACTCCAAACGTTTTCAGAATGAATCCGCGACCAGCACGTCCACGCAAGGACCGATAACCAAGGCGTCTTCTTCATCCTTCGAAAAGGTGGTTCAAGGCACACCAACCTTACAGCGACGTGCAAGTCGATCATCCAGACATGCATGACTTTTCGGATTCGGCTCATGGTCGAATGGATCCCGCACGAACTAAACACACGGGCGGATGAACTCTCCAAGGCGCTCGATCGTGACGATTACTCACTAAAGACACCTTGGTTCCGGCTCATCGAGCGCCGCCCGGGCCCGCACTCAATCGATCTATTCGCAAATGGGAGCAATACCAAGCTACCTCGGTTCTGCTCCAAAACACCGCACCCAGACGCAGCGGCAGTTGACGCATTCTCGATCCCATGGACCTCCGAGCAGGGATACGCATTCCCTCCACCGCACTTAATCCCAGCAGTGCTCCACCACGCGAAACGAACTCGCGCCGCCATCACTCTCGTCACGCCTTACTGGCCTGGCGCAAGTTGGTGGCCCCTACTGCAACCCTCCCCTCCTCGATGGGCCACCTACATTCACGGTAGCCAGTGCCTGATGGCAGGCAATCACTCCAGCGCCTTCTCCGGCGACGGTTTGCCGTGTAGTCCGATGGTAGCACTACGCGTATCATTCACCTGCTAACTGCTTTTGCACACGATGCAGGATTGCTGGAAAAACTCAAGCATCGCCTACTAGAGATAACTACACAAACGCGGGCCGACTCCACAATCCGTACATACGAGCCCTACTGGGTCAAGTTCCGCTCCTTTTGCCAACACCACAAGCTCAAGTTCCTCCCATGCACTGACATGACGCTCGCGCTGTACCTGGTCCACGCCATTCAACACAGGGCTACGGTGTCTGCAATTCAATTGACATGCGCTGCAGTCAGCTTCGCGCATCGGTCGATCGGGGCATCATGCCCGTCTATCGGCGCATTCACCTCTCAAGTCAGAGATTTTGCGAAGAAGCGATGTCCGCACCCTACCCGGGCCAAAGAACCCGTGTCGCTTCATCAAGTCTACGCGATGGCATCGGAATTTCTACAGTCAGACAACCCTCGCGAATTTCAGACGGGGCTAATACCAATCATAATGTACGCCGGGTTTCTGCGCTACTCCGACCTTGCAGTCATCAACTGGCATGAGATTCATTTCGAGCCGGAAGTCATGTGGTTACTAATACCCCGTTCCAAGACGGATCAGGCAGGAGAACGCACATGGGTCCCGGTAGCAGCAAGCCCTGGGCCCTTTTGCCCAGTTCGGTGCACCAAACGATTCATACACCTAGCACGATACGATCAATCGCAACAAGGTCCACTCATCCGCGTCTTTGGAACAGAGGGTGGGAAAAACGGTGCCGCCAAGTCGCCATCCTACACCACAATCCGCAACTGGTGCAAAGAGGCCTTCAACAAAATCGGTCTTAGTTTCGAGCATCTCGGCACCCACTCTTTTCGGAAAGGCGCAGCAACTGTCGCAGCCAACGCCGGAATATCAAACCGCATCCTGAAGCGACTAGGAAGGTGGAGCAGCGACACCGCCAAGGAGACGTACATCACGCCTGCCGCAGACCAACTTGTGGGGGCTTCGAAGCAAGTTCAAGACCCAGCACGAGCCCTCTCCCCCGCTCAACACGCCACGACAGTGGCGTGCCAACGGCGTCCAACAATACACATGTCTCAGAAGACCCATTTGAAATGAGACAATGCCATTGCTACAACAAGAAAGCAAGCTTTTTAAAATATGAATATTTTTAAAAGTTGTAACGCTTTTCAAATTTTTTTATTTTGAAAGCGAAGCGGCTTGTAATGTAGCAATGGTCATCGGCGAACCGCGATAAATGCCCGTTTTGGAGTACAAAACGTGGGCTGGAGGTCATTTCCCTCCACCCACGTCTTTCATTTTCAAACGGCTTAGCCTAGTTTCCCGCACACCCACCCCCGTAGAACTGGGACCAAATATGGATAGTTGATTGCTTTAGAATAATTGCATGCTAGCTTGGACATGTCTGTAGGATGCCATTTGAAATGAGACGATGCCATTGCTACAACAAGAAAGCAAGCTTTCTAAAATTGATAGTATTTGTGCAATATGGGACTCATGCAACCAAACGCGAAGTGGCCCCTGGGGTCTACTGAGTCAGCGAAATGTGTTTGAGATTGGCGAGAAGTTGGGCGAAACCAAAGCCCTCAACCCACCCAACACCTCGACTAGCCAACCTTGCTCCCTCACCTCCCAACATGCAGCTTTAGTAAAGTTGTACAATTTGGGCTGCGAGCTTTAAACTTCTGAGCGCATGACAATACTGTTTATCTTCCTTCAGACAAACTTTTAAACACTACATGGTGAAGTCGACGGTGGTGCAGAGTCTCGCTGGTCGACGAAAGCGACCAATGGGATTTACGCAGACGGTGGCGTCGGCTGAGCGGCGTCTTTCTGGTCGATCTGCGGCCATATACTACGAAGATTCCTGATTTATCATGCTTTCCAGACACGACCATCATTTTGATGTACTCCACTAATTTTTTTACACTAAATAAACTGGAAACACATGGGGCTGCATATTACCGTAGTACCGTAGGATCAGGGCCTCAGATTCGTTTTTAGCTTGGCTGATACGTCAGCCTTAGCAGGCTATGCTGGGCTGATCAATCAGAGTTGGTTAAAAAATAAAAACTGAAATTTCAGACAAGTCACATAAAAAAAAAACGCTGACTAATCAGCCTCACTAGAAAACGCAGGCTGAACTGGATTGGTTCTATGTTTAGGGCACGCACTTGGATGCAGGTTCGGGGTGGGTGAGATGGGGTGAGGTGGGTGTCCTTGTCGTGAGTGCGTGTGGTGCGTTGCTGTGCTGCACTGGTGGTGGGTGATTGGCGCATAAGGGATGTGACAACCAATCACATCAATTAAAGCATTCTGTCGGTGACAACGAAGCACCGACGCGTCGGGGAAATTCGTTTTCCCCCGCGTCGGCGCTGTACATGGTGACTTTTGCGTGATTGACAGGTGGATGTACCTGGACAGCCGAAACTCACGGCTCTGGCACGAATCTGTAATAGCGTGAGAGTTCAGCCTACACTCTCGTTATAAATCAGCCAACACTTGTAAAAAAACGCTGGAAAATCAGCCAATACATTAAAAAAAAACCTGAACAATCAGCCAACACATTAAAAAAAAAACTGCATTATCAGCCAACACATCAGCCACAAGTCTGGGAAATCAGCGTCCAGACCCTAAATCAGCCTTTTTTCGCTGACTTCTGAGGCCCTGCGTAGGATGAATCTGGTAATATCATGCTTTTCAGACATGACCAGAGCATTGCCGCCGATATACACTGGTGAGATTCTGACACTCAATGCATCTGGGAACACGTGCAACAGGGCCAAAGTATGCAGTGATAGCCTTGAACTTCCCATTCAAGAAATTCCGCTCCACCTGCAGCACATTGAAGGAATTCGAAGCACGGATGCCAAACAGGTATTCAGACCTCAGATCTCTGTGTTCTAACGAGCACATATTAGCACTGTAGCAAATTGCGGCATGAGTCACGAGTCACGAGTGACGCACCAGGCAGGGACCAGAAGGCGTGATGGAGCGAGCGAGTTGTTCCAAGTGGTGGATGGGAGTGTTGCGAGGCAGGTACATGGCCACTGAGGGGGCGATGCTCAGTGCCAGCTGCAGCAGGGCGGAGCTGGGGGAAGCGGAAGCAGCAAAAAAGACATAGGTGGTGGAAAGGGTGATGTCGTGCGTTGTAATTCAGCGGTCTCTGGTACCAAGACTGCGGGAAAGAAGGAAAGGCAATGGAACCAAGGGTGCTGTGGAGGGTGGAGAGAGGGCTGGTCAGCACGTGTGAATGCATGGATTAAGAGGATGAACATTCCACTCAACACCATGACAACAGAATGAGAAGTTTCGAAAGGAACACTTGATTATGGTTGGTATGAAAAGGGCACTCAAGGATGAAACGTACGCGCTGACTGGCTGCAGCATGGTCCAGATGTCGTACTCTGATTGGTCTAGATACTCCGGGCCACCCCATGGGGGGGACAGGAAGACCACATCAGCCTGCCCTGCAGCACAAGGTAAAGGCACGAGACAGACACCGGGGGCCGGAAATGGTACGAGGAGTGGGTGCATGCGTTAAATGGGGCTTGGGAGCGTAGAGAGTGGGAAGATGGGGGTTAGGAGCGTAGGGAGTGGGATTATGGGGGTTGGGAGCGTATAGAGTGTGAAAATGGGGGTTGGGAGCGTATAAAGTGGGAAAATGGGGGTTGGGAGCGTATAGAGTGGGAAAATGGGGGTTGGGAGCATGTCGAATTGGAAAATGGGGGTTGGGAGCATGGAAGTTTTAGTGCAAGTGAGTATGCCAAGATGGGGCAAGGTAGCATGGGGGCATGTGGGCATTGAAGCATGAGAGCATGGGAGAATGGAGCATGAGAGCATGGGAGCATGTGGGCATGGGAGCATGGGAGACATGGCAGCATGAACCACAGCAAGCCAAATGCAAAACAGCAGAGATCTCATGCAGGAGGACATGCGGTAGCATAGAAACATATGGTGGACAGGACAGCAAACTACAGGTTGTGCCGGCATGGGTATGCGTGGGCATGGGTATGCATGCCCACATAAATGTCAGGGAATCCGAACTTGGGAGCAAGCGTATCAGTAAGCGAATGGACAACAAGGATGCTGATGCATGGGATGCTGATGCATGGGATGCTGATGCATGGGATGTTGACGCATGGGATGTTGACGCATGGGATGTTGACGCATGGGATGTTGACGAATGGGATGTTGACGAATGGGATGTTGACACATGGCGATAAGGGGAGATGCAACAGCATATGGGCATATACACAGCCTCGGCCTATGCGGGCCCTCGGGAATCCCAACACGACGTGTGCACACTAGAGCCGCAATGAAAGGAGAGAGGAAGAAGTTGGCCATGCCGCGGTGCAGTGCAGAGGAAGTCGGCGCACAGAGCATCCACTCAATGGGGCAGACCGGGTCGGGGCCGTAGAGGGCAAGGCAAGTGCTGTGAGGAATTATAGTGCACACCGTACGACACCTAACAAGTCCTCCCATGCCTCACTTTAAGCCGCGGTGCAATGGAGAGGAAGTCGGTGCAGAGCGCCCATTCGGTGGGGCAGACCGGGTTGGGGCTGTAGAGGGCAAGTGCTGTGAGGGGTTGCAGCGCAAACCATGCGACACCCCATGATTCGTCCCATGACTCACCTTAAGCCATGGTGCAGGGGACAGGAAGTCACCTTAAGCCATGGTGCAGGGGACAGGAAGTCACCTTAAGCCATGGTGCAGGGGACAGGAAGTCAGCGCAAAGCACATCCACTCGGTGGGGCAGACCACGTCGGGGCTGTAGAGGGCAGGTGTTGTGAAGGGTTATAGTGCACACCATACGACACCTCTCTGGTCCTCCCGTGCCTCACCTTAAGCCGCGGCGCAATGGAAAGGAAGTCGGCGCAAAGCGCATCCACTCGACGGGGCAGATGGGGGCCGTAGATGCTGAGGTTGTGGTGCAGCATGGCCAGGCGAGGCACACTCATGTCAACCGCCAGCACGTGGGGGCAGCTGAGAGGGGTTGGAGTTGGGGGTTGGCGGGTGGGGGTGAGGAGCAGAGAGATGAGCTCAGGGACGTGTGGAGGCACAGAGGCCGAAGATAAGAGGCAGGGGCTGATGATAGAGGTTGTGTTGGAGGATGGCCTGGTGGGGCAGGCAGGCTCATGTCCATGGCTGGCACATGGGAGCAGCTGAGAGGGAACGAGGGGTGAAGAGAAGAGAGATTCAGTTGGGTGAAGATGTGGAGGCATGAGGGGCTGTAGAGGGCGAGGTTGTGTTGGAGCATGGCCTGGCGAGGCAGGCTCATGTCAACGGCCAGCACGTGGGGGCAGCTGAGAGGGGACAAGGGGGCCGGTTCAAGGTTGGGGGTGAAGAGTAGAATCATGTTTCAAGTCGGGTGTAGATGTGGAGTGGAGGCATGGGGGCTGTAGAGGGCAAGATTAATTGTTGGAGCATGAGTAGGCGAGGCCGGCTCATGTCAATGGCCAGCTCGTTGGGGCAGCTGGGAGAAAGAGGAGGTGGGGAAAGGGGAACGCGAATAGAGACAGGGTGTAATGTGGAAGTGAATAATTTGGAAGCGAATTCTGTAGGGGAGTTGTGTGGCATTGATATGTACAAGCAGGGGAGTAGGTAGAAGCTGTGTAGCGGAGACACCACACAATGAAGGTACAATGAAGCAGCAGAAGTAACAGCGCATGCTGCCAAAAGAACCATCACGAAGTCGTATACACCAGTATTTGCGAGCTACATGGTCTTGCTCACCCGCGTCTCCCACACTCCATCCACTACTGAGCTGTCAACCCACCCTAGAAGCCCCCACGTAGAATCCATCCACCCCCACACCCTCATCCACAGTCATTGGCCGGCCCCCCTTCAGCACTGGTGGTGTTACTTGTGAGGAGAGCAGGTTACTGGGTTGTTGGATAACTCTAACAAGGGTTACTGGGAGCAGCTTAGTCAATAATGGGTTACTGAACAGGGGAGCAGGTTATTGGGTTGTTGGGCAGTTGGGTCAGCTGACCATAGACTCACAGCTGACCATAGACTCACAGCTGACCATAGACTCACAGCTGACCATAGACTCACAGCTGACCATAGACTCACAGCTGACCATAGACTCACAGCTGACCATAGACTCACAGCTGACCATAGACTCACAGCTGACCATAGACTCACAGCTGACCATAGACTCACAGCTGACCATAGACTCACAGCTGACCATAGACTCACAGCTGACCATAGACTCACAGCTGACCATAGACTCACAGCTGACCATAGACCATAGACTCACAGCTGACCATAGACTCACAGCTGACCATAGACTCACAGCTGACCATAGACTCACAGCTGACCATAGACTCACAGCTGACCATAGACTCACAGCTGACCATAGACTCACAGCTGACCATAGACTCACAGCTGACCATAGACTCACAGCTGACCATAGACTCACAGCTGACCATAGACTCACAGCTGACCATAGACTCACAGCTGACCATAGACTCACAGCTGACCATAGACTCACAGCTTGGCGAGGTGGATGGTGTTGCCGCCCACACCACAGAAGGCATCCACCACCACGCCTGCCCCACCCTCCACGCCTTCAACACCCCCCACGTCTGCTGCACCCCTCGTGCCTGCTGCGTGCTCACAACTCTCCATGCGTGCTTCACTCCCACTCCCACACCTCCCTTCGCCCAAGGAACCATCTCTTGGTTCCTCTTCTCCTTCTTGTCTGCCCATCGCATCCCGTTCCCTGTTCACCTCTCCCTCCCCTCCTTCCTTCCCCTCCTCCTCCCCGGCTGTTACTCGGACTCCCCTCTGCTCTAGTGCATCTTCCTCAGAGCTTAACAGTGCAGCACGCGTGGCAGAAACACACATGGCAGCAGCAAGCGTGGCAGCACCATCATCTGCACACGTAGCGCTGCTATCTCCTGCCGATGCGGCAGCACCACTGCCTCCTGCTGACGTGGCAGCATCCACCCCTGCACACGTGGCATCATCATAATACATGACCGCAGCGCACATGGCAGAGTGGTGGGCGGCAATGGCCTCAGGAGTGACAAGGGGCCACGCGTCAGCATCCAATAGAACGCCCTCATTGAACCGTGAGAACAGACCGTACCGCTGCTGCCAGTACTTCTCATACCCCGCTGCTACAGCCTGCTCTGCTACAGCCGGCTCAAGTAAGACCTGCTCCGTTTCTGCCTGTGCGGGATCTCCCTCTGCAGATACAGCCTGTCCTGCTACAGCCTGTTGGGGCGTCCATCCCACCCAGCATGCAAGCCCACTCCCCTCGCCGTGGTCTGGTGGGTGCCACTGGGTGATGGTGGCGGCAGCATTGCAGAAGTACACGCCGTGGGAGAGCGGCTCCCACACCGCCTGCCATGCTCCCTCCTCCGCCACCACAAATGAATCCCCCTCTGCCCGCCCTTCCTCCGCCTGCTCTCCCGTTGCTAACCCTTGCACCTGCTCTCCCCACATCTGATCTTCCCCCATCTGATCTTCCCCCATCTGCTCTTCCCCCATCTGCTCTTCCCCCATCTGCTCTCCCCCCATCTGCTCTCCCCCCATCTGCTCTCCCCCCATCTGCTCTCCCCCCATCTGCTCTCCCCCCATCTGCTCTCCCCCCATCTGCTCTCCCCCCATCTGCTCTCCCCCCATCTGCTCTCCCCCCATCTGCTCTCCGCCCATCTGCGCAGCACCACGCGCTGCCACGTTTGCACTGACAGCCATTACTTCTGCCTCTGCAGCAACCCGTGCTGCTGTCCCCATGCCACCCACCACTGCCTCTGGACCGCTCCCAACCACTGCCATTCCTGCAGCACTCTCCGCCGCTGACCCTGTGAGATCCCTTCCATCAGCAGCAGCCTGCCTTGCTGCATCTGCACCACCCTCCACTGCTATCGCTGGACCCACCCCTGCCACGCCCTCCGCACCGCGCTCTACCCCTGCATCTGGAGCGCACTCTGCTGTTGCCTGCCCATCTCCCCTCCTCCTCCCCCGCCTCTTCTTCTTCCCTCCACGAGCCCCACCAGAACCACCACCACCGCCACCGCCGCCACCATCACCGCCGCTGCCGCCGCCCTGCTGCTGCATCATGGGAACACACGAATACAAACACTTCAACGTTTGTGCTTTGATACGAATTATGGGCATGAGAAAAGGCTTCAAGCTGAGACGTCAGATAAAGGCATCCATGTGCATGCACCCCAGCCCTGTTGGCCTTCACCACATGCACTCCGTCGAGAAGGAATGGGGGCAAGCAATCGAAAGGCATGTGAAAACAAGTTTGTTTTGACACGTCTCAGAACCAACTTGCTATCACGTTTGTAAAAAAAGGGCAATGCAATGGATGGAATGGGTTGCTGCTGCAAAAATAGTACCGCGCGGAATAGACCGAGGGTATCAGAATTAAGGTGAAGAGGACAAGGGGAGAGCAGCAGAAAGTGAGAGTGCAATCACATAAACTGCACTGGCAGGCCAAGAGCAGCCATGGCGCCTGCCAGCTCCTGATCCTCACGCGTCACGCAAAGTCACCACCGCAGCAATCGTGCTGCCTGCATGGTCCCGATCCCTTACTGAACTGCACTGGCAAGCCAAGGGAACCCAACCCATGGCACCACCTGCCAGCCACCTCTGCTTCCACCAGCCTTTCGCCTTCCACCACTGCTCATTCCACTCTCACCTTAACTTCCTGTGCTGACTGCACAGTCCGCGCCCCTCCACTGAACTGCACTGGCAGGCCAAGAGCAGCCATGGCGCCTGCCAGCTCCTCATCCTCACGCGTTTCACCTTCCACCTCTTCATCCTCGCGCCCTTCACCTGCCACCCACCCGCTGCTTCCCAAACCCCGCTCCCCTCCATCACCCCCTTCAGCCCTCCTGTCCCGTTCGCCCTTTTCCATTGCCGCGCGCCCCTCGCCTCCCCTCCACGGCACCACCTGCACCCTGCAGCACTGCAGCTCGGTGCATGAAGGCCGGCGCCTGGCACGAGCGTCACTGGGAGACAAGGCCAGGGGAGGGGGAATAACGGAGGGTCCCGGGAGAGGGAGAGGGGAGTTTGAGGTATGGGTTGGGGGCAGGGCGGGGCGGGGAGAAAGTGGTGGGATTTGGAGGTGTGGGGGGGGAACGAGGGGGAGACTGGGGAAGGGCGAACTTTGCCTGCCCTCCACGTGCACCTTGCTGCACTGCAGCTCGTTGCATGAGGGCCGGCGCCTGGCACGACCGTCACTGGGAGAGAAGATAAGTACTGTGAATGTGGATGGGGGAGGGGGGAGGGAGAGTATAGGGGAGGGTCCGATGAGAGGGATGTGGGAGTTCTAGGTATGAGGGGGGAGAAGGGAGAGTGGGGGAAGGGTGATCTTCGCCTTGCCTCCACCCCCCTGCCTGCACCTTGCTGCACTACTGCTCATTGCATAAGGCCCAGCGCCCAACTGTCATTGCAAGAGAATGGGGGGGGTTGGGATGGGGGATAAGGGAAGGCGGATGGGGAATGGCAGGTGGGGGATGGCGGATAGGGGAGGGATGGCGGATAGGGGAGGGATGGCAGATAGGGGAGGATAGGGGATGGCAAATAGAGGATGGAGGATGGGGGATGACGGATGGGGGGATGGCAGATGGGGGATGGGATATGGCGGATGGGTGATGGGGATGGCGGATGCAGGAAGGGGGTTGCAGTTAGAGGGAAGGGGATAATGAAGGTGGGTGTGTGGATGGAAGGAGGGGAGGTGGGGAGTGGGAGAATAATGGGTGTGGAAGGGGGGGGAGGGGAGGGGGGGGGGAGGGGAGGGTGGGGGGGTGGGAAGTGGAAAGAGGGAGTGGCTATCTTGCGGTGGCTCGCTCCTGTGAGTGGCGATGCCTGGCGAGCGAGACGAGCACTGCGCCGGTGAGTACTGGGGGTGGTGTGCTTGACTCTGTGATCACTGCGCGCAGTGCTGCTGCATGGAGGGAGAGGAGGAGAGTGCGGAACAGCAGCAGGGAGTGTTGAGAGGCAGGCAGCGGCAGGGAGGAGCAGGGAAGGGCAAGATGCGTTACACAACTGTTCGGGTTGTGCGTTAATGCCGAGACGACTGGCATTGAGGCGATTCAAAGATGACTTTGGGTCGACAAAGTAAGACACCTTAGTTGCTTGCGCTGCGCTCACACCGTCGGTGTACCCATTAACGGTGGTGGCCGGAATCGAGAGACTTGCCATACGATGATCGTTACTAGCATTACAAGAGGAACACTCCTTAGCGGAACACTCACTACAAGAACACGTTGACGACGGTGAAGCTCCACCGCGATCGCCTGGCTTGTTGCGGCTCCAACGGGGCGAGAGAAGGGCTTTGCAGCTGCGGGGAGCGAGGCGCCGCTGGGTCCAGCAGTGGAAATACACTCGTTTGCTCCCCTGAGACACTGGTTTCCATGCCTGTGCATGGCTCGACCATGCCCGAAAACGAACGGCTGATCACGGAAAGAAGCGGCTGCAGGGGCTCCGATGAAGTCGCCCTTTATTTGCCGTCGTGAGACTGCTGACGACCCAGGTCCAACTGTAAAGACTCGGGGAGATACACAACCAGCATTAGACTAGGATAGCAATCGCGAATACATTGCGATTAAAGCGACCGTATACATCGCCGCGTTGGCGGTAAAGGGAACTCTAACCACGTCTCCGAGTTCAAAGTAGGCTAACTCGCAGGTGTGTATGTATCTTGTAATCATCATGGGCCCCGCCGCGGTCAGTGCGCACAAGGAGGAATGTGGTGACAAACAACGACAAGGGCATGTCGTGACACGGGCATGTCGTGACAAGGGCATGTCGTGACACGGGCATGTCGTGACACGGGCATGTCGTGACACGGGCCTTGTCGTGATTTATTATAATTGTTTGTCACGTGGCCCCCAAGACAAACAATGACATGTGGTGGGGCCTTGTCGTGACTCATGAAAGGGCCAAGGCATCACTGGTCACGAGGCCCCCGTTGGCGCCTTGTGAGAGGGTTGGATGTTCAATTATGTGTTGCCCCCTCGCCGCATCTTCGTTCACTCGTACCGCTTCCCATAGCAGCGCGCGCCACACCTAAGCTCGCCGCGACAAGCCTTCCACTCCCACAACCACTCCTCTCCCTCGCACACCCGTGTCGCCCGCTCCCTCTGCTGCTTGGTGGGCCCACCTTGTCACATTTGGCGGGCCCACCTTGTCACATTTGGCGGGCCCACCTTGTCACATTTGGCGGGCCCACCTTGTCACATTTGGCGGGCCCACCTTGTCACATTTGGCGGGCCCACCTTGTCACATTTGGCGGGCCCACCTTGTCACATTTGGCGGGCCCACCTTGTCACATTTGGCGGGCCCAACTTGTCACATTTGGCGGGCCCACCTTGTCACATTTGGCGGGCCCACCTTGTCACATTTGGCGGGCCCACCTTGTCACATTTGGCGGGCCCACCTTGTCACATTTGGCGGGCCCACCTTGTCACATTTGGCGGGCCCACCTTGTCACATTTGGCAGGCCCATTCACCCGTTTGGTGGGCCCACATTCGCCGGGTTGGTAATGGCAGGGAGGCTCTGGGCTGTCTCACCTCGTGCAGGGGGGTCAGGAAGGCTGAGGCAGCGGAGGAAGTGCGGGAATGGATGGGCATGATGGGAAAAAAGGTAACGGCAGGGGGGCACTGGGCTGTCTCACCTCGTGCAGGGAGGCAAGACTCTCAACGTGCGCGCCTCAAATACGCCGGGCCCCCCTCCTGCCCTCACCCACACTACTCAAGGCGGATTGGCGCTGGATATAAGGCCATGAAACGGGAGGGAGGGGGGGCGACGGGTGGGGAATAGGGAGGAAACGAGGGGACGGGGTGTGTATGGGACGGAAGGGGGAGCAATGGGGTGGAAGGAGGGGGCTGGGGAGGGTAGGGTATGGGTGGTAAGGGGAGGAATGGCCGAGGCAGGAAAATGAAATGGGGAGGCAGGAAGGGGAAATGGGGAGGCGGGAAGGAGATGGAGGCGGGAAGGAGAGAGGGGGAGGCGGGAACGGAAAAATGGGGAGGCGGGAAGGAGAGATGGGGAGGCGGGAAGGAGAGATGGGGAAGCGGGAAGGAGAGATGGGGAGGCGGCTATCGCGATCTCGCATGCGGCTGCGGCGACTAGTGCGAAAACGGCGTCGTAGCGAGGGTTCGCGAGCGGGCGGCGAATCTGACCGTGCGAGAGCACGCAAAACCGCAGCAGTGTGCGGCGCGGTGAGCGTCACGGTGGCGTGGGGAGGCAGCGTGGGGAGGCGAGGCGAATCCGCGACGGGCGTCCAAGGCGAGGCAGCTCGGTGCGGTGCGGTCACGCCAAAACAAACTACCGCGGCGAGGCCGCGAGCAGGGGACTGACAGCGGCGGCGATTTGCGGCGATGCGAAGGCAGGCGAGGCGAGACGGCGGGGGGAGGCGACGAGGCAGCGAGGAAAAGCGCGGTGAGGCTGCGAGGAGAAGCGAGGTGAGGCAGCGGGGGAGGCGTGACAAGAGTAAGCATTCGGCGGAATCGCCGATCGAAGGCGTGATTGCAACCCCAAGCGATGGCGGACCGCCTTGTGAACGAAACCACGATTGGCGCTACGGTGCGGGAGGGACTAGTGGACTCGAAGTTATACCGTAGAAGTACTACGGCTGCGCGACTGGGCCATGTCAGAGGCTGTAGAATTCCTACGTTTTTGTGCCGCCTATTGGTTATCTCGTGTAATCCTTATAAAACTACACTGTACATCTCACAAGAGAAGAACGTGTTATAAGTAATCAAACAGAGTGCACAGAATTAAACAATAACGATGTTGTGACTCAATGAAAGACAATATAGAAAGAGAATATCTCGGCAGGAACCTTAATAGATCTATTTTGCGCATAGGTCAGGCAACGGACAAGCTTGAAGCAACGCAAGGTAGAATCGATATTAATAATATCGGCCAAATTTGTACTTTTGATTATTCGTCTTGTACACGATGCGGTACAAGTCCAACAAGATAAATCAAGCGAGTTTAGGAAGGATGCACATTTCTCTTAGTTGGGGCAAGGTTTATCGTAAACCTGGACGATTTATGTCGATCTCTTTTAAGTTCCTGGCTCTTTTTATGTGGAGAATTCGGAAGCGTGAACGACTGAGTGATGCCATCCTGACGACAGAAGGCCTCAAGCAGATACATGTAGGAGGAAAACCCACCTCCACGGTCAAAGTGCAGATGGAGAACCGAGAGGTTCTTGTGGAATCGCTCGCTCAGATGGCGACGAACGGTGCGGATCAAAGGGATCAAAACACGACGAACGTCGCCCCTACTTCGCAAAGGAAACACACTGGTGTAGCGTCTGTAGTCGTCGACGACCAGCAGGAAGTAGCGCTCCCAGCCCGGCCCAGGGATGGAGGCAGGGCCCCATACGTCCATATGCAGGGTCTGCTGAGGAGTCTCCGTCGGAGGGAACGAGGAGGAGTGAGGAGCAACGCGTTGCCGCCCCTCAATGCAGGGAGTGCACGGCGGCGCAAGCGATGGAGGGAGGAGGGGCAGAGACCTCAGAAGGCCCGAGACAAGGAGACGCGAGCGCATGAGACGCACACCCTGCAGGAGGGGGTGACCAAGACGGTGGTGCCAGAGGAGGGACAGGTAAGTGAGCAACCGACACGAGCACGACGCAGCTATCTGACCGGACCCAGCAAAATGTGCAGACTCAACGTGTGCTATGTACAGGCCAGACCCAGGCCTCCGAGTAAACATGGCGAGGTGGTTGCCAGTCTTTGAGTCCGTACAAATCGCTACAAGCTCGCCCCCATGAGTAATGGTAGTGACCAAATGATCCTAGAAGACAGATTTACTCACCAAGTTTGTAGCAAATGAGGGGAGGTGGAAACCTTTATGGGAACCAGAGATAATTGACGGACATGGGATACCAGTGGTACCTTGTGCAACGACTGGACCAGAGGAGGGGTCGACAGAGTGACTGGGACAGGTGTGGTGAGTGGTGTGACTCTAGTGCAGTCGTAGAAGAAGCATTGAGACTCGCTTGAGCCTAGCGTGAAGGTGAGCAAAGTCTCCACCGGAGCTGCACCTATGTTAGTAGCCTCACAAGAGCCTAGACTAGCAGCCTCTATACCACACCCGAAGTTGCTGTGGTGAGAGGATCTTCTGCTGACTTTGCTGACACTGCTATCCACCCCCAAAACCTCCGCCTCCACTAGTGGCACCATCTGTACGAGCAAACGCACAGACACCTCAACCAGCTCCTGCACCTCCCCTAACAACGGACAGCGCTGCTGCAGTAGCCGGGTGGCAAGAGCGAGAGAGGAGTAGTGTTCAACTACAGCGTCGTACAAAGTCTGGGCCGACGTCACCTTACGAAAGTGGGCCCTCAAGTCGACTGGCAGGTGAGCTCGGATGGCAAGTTGTGTGACAGCGTCACGCTCCGTCCACTGTATGTAGGTAAGGCTGACCGCCTGGTACCGCTACTACACGTCCTTGCCAGCATCAATAGTAGGCTTAGTGGGAGTCGTGTGGGCCCGAAGGGACCCCGACGTTTGCTCGAGCAGGGAGACAAAATTTATAGTGAAAAGTCGGAGATATCTGCGCAGGCACATAAGCCAGAGCCCTATCTTGAAAGGGCGGCCATCTGCATCAACCACTAAGACTGGGAGAAAGGCCAAGACCGGTAGCAGCAGTCAATAGTAGCGGAGCACGGGCGGCAGTGGCAGCTGTAGTGGCAACTGGTGGTTGAATCAACAGCAGAGGCAAGTACACGGGCAGATGGAGCGACAGCTGCAGGGCAGCAGGGCGTGCAGGTGCGGCTCACGGGGCAGCACACGGGCAGGGTAGCTTACGTGGGCACGCGTATCGCGCAAGGCAGCATATGGGCAGGGCGGGCAGCAACGCACGGGCAGCTAGGGCAGCGCACGGGCAGCTTAGGCAGCGCTCGAGCAGCTGCGCACGCGGGGCGCGCGAGCAGGAGGGCAGCAGTGTGCTATGTCAGAAGTACAAACGAGGAATGTTGAACAGCAGAAGAGGGATTGCACTAGCAGGCAGAGGGGATACAAATAGGAAACCCTAACAGGTCTGTACTCACTACTGAGTACCCCACTGCAAACTAGACAATATAACATTGTGACACTCCCCCATAGGGAAAGTGGGGTATAATCAGCACAACAAGCAGTCATAGAGCAAGTTCACAAATTAGCCCTAGTGGCAGACATAGCAGAGGGGCAGTGAGGAGGAGGAGTGACTACAAGAGGAGAGGAGTTGGGAGGCGGCAGGTGAAGCTGCTGACACACGGGCATCGGAGCAACTAGCACACTGGCTACCGGAGCAAGGGCCCCGAACTACTGGAGCAACAGGCGACACAGCGGCTACCTCCTTCCAACCTCCCCCCATTGCCTCCAAACCCTTTTCTCACATCCCCCCGGCTAGCGCTACTCCCCAACCTCACCCACTCCATCCCCCCCTCAGTGGCAACTGCAGAAGTGGGAGAGAGAGGAGGAGGAGGGACAACTGGTCACGCACTCCCACCACCCCCATACCCCCCCTTACCCCCGCCACCCGGCTGTACGCGCAGCAGGAAGTCGAAGGAGGAGAGCGGAGGGCGGGCGGCGTCGCGACGTGCAGGGCGCGGGCGGGCTGTGGGGCGCTCGCAACGGGCGGGGCGCGGGCAGCAGGCGGGTCCAGGAGGGGCGGCGCGCGGGTCCCCAGGGATGGTGCGCGGGTCTAGCGGAGCAGCGCGCGGGTCCAGCAGGGGCGGCGCGCGGGTCCCGCAGGGCGTCTTGCTGGACCCAGCGGGGCAGCGCGCGGGTCCCGCAGAGCGTCACGCGGGTCCAGCGGGGGCGGCACGCGGGTCCCACGGGGCGGGGCACGGGTCAGGTGGGGCAACGCGCCGAGCAGAAAACCGCCGCGCGCCCCGAGCGCGCGGCAGGCAGAAAACGTCGCGCGCCCGGGGCGCGCGATAGACAGGACAGCAGCGGAAGCATAGGGTGGGCCTACAAACCAGGATCGAATGAGCTCTGATACCATGTCAGAAGTACGAACGAGGAATGTTGAATAGCAGAAGAGGGATTGCACTAGCAGGCAGAGGGGATACAAATAGGAAACCCTAACAGGGTTGTACTCACTACTGAGTAACATACTGCAGACTAGACAATATAACATTTTGACACGCGACGCACGGGCTGCAGGGCGCGTGCAACGTGCACATCCCAAAACACCAGGGAGACTCGACAAAGTAGCTCCCGCATATCTGCTAACTATATCATTTCTGTGCGCAATGTTGGCGGAAACAAATTATATATGGTACAATTTTTTTTACAAGCCCCAGACATCCTCAACCTTGATACTATCAAGATATTGGTTGTGCTGTGCTCCCACATTCCTTTATGAGAGTTGCGACATGCTAAATTCTTGGCCCATACTACGGTACATGGTTTAGGGATACAGTGGGCTTGGTATAGTGGTTTAGGTTTACATTGTAAAATGCAAGATGTATCATAACTGTAAACACATGGGATCTACAAAGTGACTATGGAGCTACACTATTTACCTGGCTTCAATGTAATAGTTACAGTAGTTGGTTACACAATTCCCTTGTTATCATGGTTACATATAATTTCACTAGTTACATATTACCTTTGAATCCATCAGTAACAATGTTATATTGTTACATTGACTTATAGCTGATGCTTGTTTGTAGGCTATAGTGGGGTAGCACATATGGGGTACAGCTTTCTAGGGTTGTATTTGTACCCAACTCAGACCTAGTCATTTCCATTCCTGTTTACTTGTTTCACATGGTATCAGAGCGGGTCCTACCTTAGGACCGTTTTTTTTAGGGCCCACCGAAGCGCGCCCCGAGGCGCGCCCTTTTTTTTTTAGCGACCCCTCGGGTCGCCTTTTCCCTCGCGGCCCCGCTGTCCCTCAGACGCGGCCTCGCCACCTCTCCTGATCGCGGCCCCACCGCCTGCTTGACGCGGCCCCGCCGCCTCCCCTGACGCGGCCCCGCCGCCTCCCCTGACGCGGCCCCGCCGCCTCCCCTGACGCGGCCCCGCCGCCTCCCCTGACGCGGCCCCGCCTCTACTGCCGCGGCCCCGCCGCCGCCTCTGACGCGGCCCTGTCGGCCCGCCGCTACAC